TTGTCGTGTCAACATTTTATTATTTATTGTTGTAGCCTCTAGGCCAGGCGAAAAGGGTTTGCCCCAAAACAAAAGCCAGCTAATGCGCCCACTCCTCTACATGGTCTACGGAGAAACAGTCCCCGCTGTCTGCAGTCTTCTGTTGCCTGTCGGTGGCTTTTGAGCTTTCTGAGTTGTTTTGAGTTGCAGTTTTGAGTTCCTGTCCTGTCCTGTCCCGTCCTGTCCTGTCAGTTATTAATGGAGCGCCATTGTCTGCTAACGGCGCTGTGATTTCGCCATAGAAATTAGCATTCAATACAATTTACGCTGCCATGCCAATCAACGCCCTACACACGCCCAAGCCAATCTGAGAAAAGCGGGAAAAGGGAGTTGATGAGTAACAGAAGAAACCCCCCGAAGCCAGGAGGCTAATCAGAGAACTCTTTCTAGGGGGGAAATTATGCACAATTATGCGCCAAGGAAATCATCGAAAAAGCCTGGGGAACAACTTCCGCTGACGGGACAGAAACTGAGACTTTAGACAGCGTTTTGCCTAGAAGGCTGTGCACTGGAAGAAATTAGAGGGAATTTCTATGAAGCTACATTTCAGAAAAAAACTGAATTTTGAGAGTAAAAAATATTGTATAAATACTTTTCATAATCTTTAAGTAAGTATTTTAGTTAATATATTTTCAAGTTTTAAATAAGCTTTTTAAATTAAGAAAAAAAAATATATTTAAATTATAATCTATTATAAATTAATTTCAGAAATAATTTTAAACTGTATATACTTGTTTTTCTCAGTGCCTTTGCCAAGTTCTGGCTGTTGTCGTCGCTTGTCTCTATTCAAGATGTAGGTGGCGCTGCCGACATCGACATCACTTACGGTACACAGATCCCGACATTAGATAGAGTCCCCAGTCTCCGCAGAATTTTCGCATTTCTTCCCGCCCCTTTGTGGGTTTCAGTGCCCCTCGTGCCCCACAAATAATCGCAATCGTGCGCGTTTGTTGATTGTTAGACTTGGATCAAGAGGGAGTGAATTCTGGAGACTGTTGACTACGGACTGAAGACTGGGGACCCGAGACCGGGAACTGAAGATGAGGCCTGGGTCTGGGCCAAGCTGCGGCTCGTTGTCGACATCGTTGATTTCAATGTTTCATCTGCCGCGCAGCAACAATGAGCTGGAACAACGACGGCAACAACCAGAGCGTGCCTTTTAATTGCCGTGCCGCCAACAGACATTAACATTAACATTAGAGGAGTCTTGAAAAGAGACGACAATGTCTCCGGTTGCTCCATTCTGTTTCTACATCTGTGTGGGCGGAGGGAATATGACGCACCTGGAGTGGAGTTGGATGTGGAGCTCTGGGAATGAATTAGATGAAAGGGTTTGATGGTAGGACCAAGACAAAGACGTTTCTTATACTTAACAAAAAATATATTACATTTTCCCAGTTACCAATTAAATCTTTTGAAGTAAAACAGGACTGCTCTGGTATAGCCGTAAGAGGTATCTTCTTCAAAGACAATACAAGGAAGAAGATGCCTTGCTTTCGAAACCTCTAGAACTAACTAGAAGTACGCCACCTAGACAGCTTTAGTTTGCGTGGCAGTTGTCTTGGAAGTCTCCATTTCCGGAGAATCTTTTCAGTCATGGAGGAGGAGCACCCAAAGAGACAATCCTGACCAATTCACCTACAATCGATCAAGTGAAACGCTGCGCAGGCGGGGAGAAACCGCTCAACGTACGGTATGAGTGCATGTGGAGCTCCCGTCGTTATGAGAACCAATGCCACGATGCAGATGCCGATGCCGATGCCCATGCCGCTCCCTCATCTTCTTAGCTTTCAATTCTTAGCTCTCATCTCCGTTCCGTTTCAGAAGCAGTTGCAGTTGCAGCTGCGGCAGCAACAACAACATTAGAATTGCTAAGAGCCATTCAAAATCACCAGCAGACAACGAGCAAAAATGTTAAAACGATCACGTTTTCTTGCTGCTGCTGCTGAAAATCCTTGCTGGAAAACTCGCGTTGGGGAAAAGCAAGAAAAAATCTCAGCTGCCGTTGACATTCCAAGGCTTCCCCTTCTTGATCCCCTCAACGGCGCTGAGGAGCTGTGCGCATGCTAATTTCTTTTTGCCGGTTAGCCCAACGGTGCTGCCTGCTGCTGTGTCCCCTTTCGCTCTTCCTCACCCCCACTCCCACATTGAATAAAGACGAAGCCCTCGATGACTAACTGTAAAAGGCCAGGTAACTGCAAGGCAAGTGAGCGTTGAAGCATGGAAGCCCAAACAGAAGCGGTAGCATACCTCGATGGTTGTGTGATTTTGATACCCTGTAGATATGTTTGTATTAAGAAAAAAGGGTGAACATACACAGATATTAGGATAGCAAGAAGATTTCCATACTCAAGACCGAAAAAAATATATGTTATTAAGGCTTCTAAGGTAATCCGCGCTTCTTAGGCGTCAGGGCCTTTCTGCTTTCTAGGCGATAGAGACGATGTCTCCGAAGATGGAGAGGCTGGCCGGGAATTGGGCTCGCTTACTTCGTAGGTCCGGGCTCTGGCGGTCCACCTCTCGGACTCCGCCGGAATCGGAGACCCAGCCGGCGATGTGTCAGAGGTATTCCTGCGCGAGAGCGTCCTGCGATCGATAAGACTCTCCAGGCGTGGGCGCAGCTCGTAACGCGGCCTGATCTCTGCCTTGGCTACTGGATCCTTGTCTTCGTCGGCTGCATCCCGGTGGGGCACAGGACACACCGTGCGCTGCCACTTTGGCTGTGGCACCTTTAGTGGAACGTTTAATGGCAACGTAGGCTGGAAAACGATGCGATTCACCACTGGCTGGCCATTCTCGCCCAGTTTGAAGCGAACTTTCTTAATAACCTCGTACAAGATCTTTGCCTTAGGTTCTTCCATGCTGGATTCCGAACGTAGAAGTAAGGGTGGCCGAAAGGTGAAGCGCTCCTCCGGGGGCTTCCCCATCTCGTCGAGGGTGATGCCAGTTTTGTGAGAGGCCCCAGACAGGAGTAAGTCCGAGCTGCCGTCCGAGCACAGTGGAATAGGCGGCTGGAAGCTGAAGCATTTGGTCGGGGTGCCAACGACCACTTCCTCCACAGCAAGGAGAGGCTTTACGATCTTTCGTTTTGTGGGTATTTTGGGCATTTTACTAGGCAGAGTAAATACTAATATATAATATACATTAAGAATGTTGTTAGATATTTTATAAGAACGTCAAATTAGTTCTTATAAAGTTCTTTAGTTTATTTTTCAAGGTAAACTAGTCTCTTAGTTTGAATGAAACTTCAAAGGTATTTCTGTATTTGTAATTTTCTTTAACCGTTAAATTTTCTAGTAATTTTTTGCACTCACATTTGTTTTGTCTATGGCTGATATTTTCACTCCCCTCAAATATCTCTACATACTTATTTTTTCCAAAACTCCACACAATTGTCATTCGATTTCAAATGTTTTTTTGCCATGCATTTTTCTCCTTTAGTTTTTTGTTTTTTACTACCATTTGCCTCTCGTTTTCCCCGAAAATGTCCCCAGATTTTAATGGACGACGAAGAGAGAGAGCGGATCTCGCAGGGTTCCAAAATGCAAATGAATGCCGATAATTCAAACGATAAGTTTGTCTTTTGTCTTGTTTGCAGCTACCGTTTGTTGTTTTTCCTTGGGTTTTTCTCAGGTTTTTTTCTACTTGTCTTTTTTGTATTTTGTTGTTGTTTCCTCTGTTTGACTTGCTGTTGTTGTTGTTTTTGCAGCTACCGCCTAGAGCCAACAACAAGCAACCATTAAGGAACCCAAGGGAAGGACTGGGGAAGAGGGACAGACGGAGCCAGGACCATGATCACGATTTTCAAGTTTCGACATTTGATTGAGTTTTTTGAACTAACGATTTTTTTTTTATTTTGCCGTTTTTTGTTTTTTTTTTTACTTATTCAAAGGGGCGGTTATTACGAGTGTGTGGTGGTGTGTGCCTGCCAAAGTGTGTGTTGTGTGGGCGTCTTGTATCCCGTATCCGTATCTTGCATATTGCTCCTAAAGAGCGTTAATTTGACACACAAGTAACCCAGATTAACGATCGATGACGGCGGGAAATGAATGTCTATATGCCAGGGCGACTAAAAAAATGTTTATGGAAATAACTTTTGGTATGACTTTAAATTTATATCAATATTCATTGAATTTAATTATTAATTATAGCTTGTAAAGAGAGTTGCCTTACGGAAACATTTCTCTCGCAGTTTATTAAGTCTTGGGAGTGAAACCTAATAAATATTTAAGTTGTTTTTTATTTTAAAATAATTTGTATAAAAATACTTTTAATTTTCAAGTAAATAAAAGCTGCCCAACCCTGACTTAGAACCAGATTTGAACTCTCCTTGAGCAAAAAAAAAAAAAACAAAACCCCAACGAAACGTAACGAAAGGAAACGAAACACAAATGTTAACTCTGCATGTTGATAAAAATATGACAAGTTGGCTGTCATTAGTCACACAATTAACATATACAAATGCCGCCTCAAGGAGTGGAAGGAGGATGAGGAGGAGACTCCAGACTCCATCTTCCTTCGTTGGTCACGCCGTAGTGGGAAACGCCGAACGAGAGGCGCAGGAGACACGCTGACTTCAGCAAATTGTCAATTACTCATGCGATGAGCGAAAGGAGCATCGGAGCCAAGGAAGCTTGCAAAAAGGGAAGCAGCAGCAGCTGGAGGAGGAGAAGAAGACGGTGCTGGTGAGGTAAGGACCAGTCCAGTGGCCGAACCTGAGTCCCGGGGACTCTGCTGGACGACCGCCTGTCGTCGACGACTGCCTTTTAAAGCATCATTAGCAGCGATAATTAGCGCCGTGCAGACGACAGCCCAGAAATTGCCTTGCAGAGAGACCCCAAAAAGCACACAGAAAAATGAATTTTAAATAATTTTTATAAAATAATTTATAAAAAAAAATAAATACAGAAAACGCTTTTTGAAAGCTAAAAGATTTAAATTTCGAATATATATTTTTAACAATAAATTTTGTAAACAAAAATTGATGATTAATGATTGCTTAACGGGACCAGAAAATCATTATTTTATTTCGAAATCCCCACATTCAACCTGAGGCGGTTCTTGGCCAGCGTCGCCGGCTTTGAGGACTGTGCCACATCCCCCACCAGCTCCTCCTCGCCCAGACCCACATCCCTATTCGATGCCACGGTCTTCCTGACCTTTTGTAGACCGGCAACTGCCACTTCCGACAACACCTGGGTCGAACTTAGACTAACTCGCATAGCTGCCGAGGGATTTACAAAGATCATTTTGTCGCGCAGCTCCTCGCTCATACCGCTGTGACCTTCACGCACAACCCGCGGCTTGAACACGTAGCTGGTGGGCGTCATCCTGGGATCCACATACTGCACCTGTATCTCCACGGGAAAATCGCCGCCCAGCACTTCGCTAATCTCGAACGGCGCACTGTCCGCCACATGCAGGCGGAGTGGAAGGCGTGGCGACATCCGGAAGGTGACTTGACGGACATAGTGCGCCAGATTGTCGTATTTGTCCCCCGCCCGCACATAGACGCTCCATGTGGGCTCCATAATGTCGGGCAGATCCAGATCGCTCACCTCCATCTGGCAGCCCAGGACAATGTCCCGACTGATCACGCAGCGTCCAAAGATGGCGGTGTTTTCAGCTCCGCGATAGCAACTTACGCGCTGGCTGTCGTCCATTATGTTTTGGTGGCGCAAGAGGTGCGTATAGCTCATCACCACTTTTTAATGATCACTGATGGGATATTGGTATTATCTTGAAGTCTGAAGGATTTAAAATTTTTTAAATTGGCGGAAAATTTTGAAGAAAACTTGAAAAACAGGTGACGGAAAAATTGAAGCCTACTCCTTACGGATAGAACATTTAAAAGACTTGGAAATTACTTATTTTGAGCTTAAACTTGTGTATCTTTTATTGTTTTCTGTGCAAAAACCAAGTACTCATCATATACCCCCCTCCTCTCAAGCAATCGTTTTCGGCTAATAAATTCAGCACGTTAAGAGTTTTACTTAATATTTTGTTTTGCTTTTTTTTTTGGCAAATTTGAAACTCGTGAGAGATTTGCTTTTTGGTCGCCGCAGCAGCAGCAACAGGTTGTCGCTGATGGAAAACCCTGCTATTTTCCCATTCAACTTCAGCCCCGTGTGCGTAACTTTAGTGAATGGTCACTGCACTGCACTGTGATTTTGGCCAAGAAGAGGAGGTGGCAGCTGCTGTTGCAGTTGCAGTTGCTGCGCAGTGGCTGCATCGGCTGAGTGACATGTTAATTAGTCGCTTACATGACGGCCGTTTGCTGCCAAGGCTCAGCGCTTGCCCGAAAATGCTAATTTCCACACATTGGGCAACCGCTGAGACGCGGAAAAGCGCCAGAGACGGGGACGGGGGATGGAGAGGGAAAGGAAACCGAAGAGTTGAGCAATTTTATAATTGAGCAATTTGCCAGCGTCTGATTTATTTGTGGATCCCCACAAAAACGGGATTAAACGGTAAGTGTCTCCCAATGCAATATTTTGAGGCGCTAGAAAAAAAAAAAAGATCAAATGGATTAGCTAGCGCAACGAGATGGATTTATTTGGCGCTCGTATTTTTTGACACATTTCCTCCAAAAAAGAAACAGCAAAATAATATGTACAACTGACAAATCTTGATGGTAATTAAGGTTAAAGATATATGGGTTGAGAGATCCCAAGTCAATTTATAAGAAACATGGGAAGTAATGAAATAATAATAAACAAAAATAAAGGTGGAAAATAGAATTAAAAAAATAAAAACTAAGATAAATATAGCTATATTTTGTGTTAAAATCAATAATACATTCGTATGATTAATATTTTAGCATTTTAATATATTTTATTATTTTAAAACACCTAGATAATATAATATTTTGATTATTTTCTGTGATTTGTTCTTTCAATTATTAAAATAAAGCCTTTTTTTAGGGCCTGTTACTAGTTTGCAACGTAAATAGTTCATCACATATTATTGATTTGGTTTCTTTGGAGGGTGGGACCTCCCCACTTCCTATCTCCATAGGATCCTAGCAGCGTTAACAAGCCCCACTGCAAGCAAATGATGCTATTTAAGTGCCATTTAAAATTTAAGCGGCACTCAAGTCGCGCCTCTCTCTCACTCCAGCATTTCTTTGCATTTCATTTCTTTGAAGAAGAACTACAATGGCAGCCAGCAGGAGCTGTATCGACATCAGAGACACGACTTCTCCTTTGCATATGTATGAGAGCGTGTAATTTGCACTTGTGTGCCAGGGTGAGTATCTGTGTGAGAGCATCTAAGATGCCGCCAGCCGATGCATGCCGCTCGTTTAGATCGTCACCATTGCTCCCTGGCTCCCTGGCTGGTTGGCGTCTGCCGCCTGACCCAAGCGATTCCGCTGTGCCAGCAACTAGCAACTAACAACTAGCGACCATCGCCAACACCAGCTACATTATACCTTAAAAAAAACTTGAGTGTTTTTGTTTTTCTAAACACTGTTACAAAAAACAGAGACAATAAGTTGTATATTAAAAAATGCTAGCCCTAAAAATAGTTATTTAAATATTTTTAATTTTTATTAGAGGCTTTTTGAGCAACTTAAGATCTATAATATTTCTTTGAATCTTTCTTTTTCTATGTGTATATTTTACATTCAGTTTTTCCTCCTCAAATAATCAACAGCATTGCAACTGCAGCAGCAGCAGCAACAGCAGCAACTACAGCAGCAACAATTGCGATTGGCAACAAAACTCTCAAATGTGTTACGGTCACAAATGCTTAACTTTTACTAATAGTTAACAGTTTCTGCTGTTTGCTGCTTTTTGGTGGTGTTGTTTTTGTGGCTGTAACTCCTTCACGCAGTCGCGATTTTATAGATAAAACATTCTATTTGGCAATTAATTGGCATTTTGTTACTTTTCCAGTTGGATTTGTATAAATTGTTTGTTGCTGTGCTCACGATATTGAAATGTTTGTTGCTGTTGTTTCAGGTTTGCTTAGCTTGGCTTAGTTAGGAGCTAGGAGCTAGTTGTGGCCCGAGTTGTGGGTTGCTAGTTGCTAGAGGCTCTTGTTGGTGGATTTTCGTGATTGTCAACAATGATTATTTGGTCAACACTTGGCGGGGCGCTTAGAAAGTAAACCAAAAAGGAAGAATCAAGGAGAATAGAAGGAGGAGGAGGAGGAGGAGCAATCTCTGTCCATGTTGGCTAATTAAATTGAAGGCGGAACGGATTTAACTGGAGAATCGCCGCCGAGGGCTGCATTAGCTTCCTTTCTGGATTGGTGTTCTCCTCTACCCTCCTGTGTTGGCCACGAATTTATGGCATTGGCAAGGCAATTGACATTAACCCTAACAGCGACAGATGCAGCCGCAGCAGCTACTTGCCACAACTGGCTGCGGCTGTGGCAATGGCAATGGCAATGGTTTTGAGTTTGGGATTGGGAATGGAACGTAGTTGCACTTGGCACACAGATGAATTTATGTATGCAAAGCAGGAGACAACACGGGGGAAACGGGGCACTCAAAGGGGACTAAAACCGAAACCGAAAGCTACCTCTTCTGACTGACAGGACAAAGGAGTTATTTTTCACAAAAAAAAGGAGTATAAAGAACAAAAAAAAACGAAAGGGAGCAATCTTCGGTAGGAAGTGCAAGTTCAGCAAGGGTTTGGGGAGTGGAAAGAACATAAAGGCAGACCCACAGTAGTCGCCGCTGCTAAAGAACAGTGGTCAACGGGATCAGGAATCAGTGAAAAATAAATAAATCAATGAACAACTTGTACTAAGGATATTTATATTGAGAGAAATCAAAAATTCCCTTAAAAAATTATCTTTAAAACATATTTTTTGAAAACCTCTTTATAGATAAAAACGGATCAGATATATTAAATAAAATGACGATTTAAATGTATTGAAATATTAAAACCGAATAATATTCTGAGAATATATACATCAGCATCAGATATATTAGTATTTTGTGCCATTCCTAACGTAAATTAGATAATAAATCATACTGCAAAGTTCAAGCCAATTAAATTGAAGCAAACCATTAACTATTTAAAGGTCACACAGATTAGTACTTAATAGGTGACTTTAAGATTTGTTTTTTAGTTCTTAAAATATCAAAGGAAATCTTTTAAAGAGAAATAATGACAAAATTATACACTAGGAATAGATTAGAACAAGCTTTTATCCAGTTTAAAACCCCTTTGAAAACCTGGAGACCTGAATCCAATCATAAATTAAGCAATCAAATTTGGTAGCTAAAATATTAATATAAATAATAGAAGAAGGCTATATACCTATACATACATATTATATACACAACCTTCTGGCACTGTGCCTGGGCGGCTTTTCAGCCGCCACAAAAGACCTGCGGCAGGGGCAACAGTAGCTCCTGAGCTACTCTGCTCCGGAGTGGAGCAGAAACAGAAGCCATAGCCATATCCCGGGCCAATCCAACCCAGTCGGCGGAAAAGTAAAAGTAAAAATAAGTGCGCCAGCCAGAATGGGTTTGGGTATGCAAAGAGCTGCTGCTGCTGCTGCTGCAGCTGTGGGGATGGACATAAATTATCTTTGGGTCGGGGCGGCGGACAAATCTTCAGAAGCCCAACGACGACGACGACGACGACAATGTCCAAGCAGCAGCCTGTCAATTGCAGCCGAAATGAACAAAGAGAGCAAAGGAGCCAAAGAACTGAGCAGAGCATCCTTCGCCGACTGGAGGAAGCCTGTCAGCGGATGAATCTCAGCTTCAGCTTCAGTCTCAAAAGCAAAAGCAAAAGTGCGCCTGTTGGCGGCAGTGGGAAATGAGTCAGGAGTCGGGATCGAAGCCGATCCGATCGAGAAATCGTTTGGGATGGCCTCCTGACAATTGTGAAATGCAAACGACGACAGGCGAATGGCCGAAAAATAACCCAGCCCAGGCCCAGGCCCCAGGCTTGATTAATTTATGGCCTCCGTTTTCGCTCTGGACTCCATTGTGAGCTACTGGATCTTGGCCTGGCTTGGCTTGGCTTGGCTTAACTTGGCTTGGCCCTTTGTTTCCTGGCCTTGACTGCGGCAGCATCTGCCTCCTCCTGGCATTTGAATCACGACCTCGGCAGGAGATTCGAGGTAAGAGAAAGAGAGCGGAGAGAGGTGTTGTCGTTGTCACCACTTGGAAAATTCGCGGAAAAGTCATGAGCTTAGAGGGCGCTCAGCCAACCCTGTCGTCCGCGATTTCCGCCTCTGGAAGCCACGATCTTGGACATTTGCCACAGCTGCAGATCATTAGAGGCCCAAAAGCCAAAGGAAAACCCGGAAAAGGGAGCTTTGTAGAACACTGACATCAATATTTAAATTTAGGAATATTTTATATTTTAATTAAATGAAATCTAGGTTAGCTTTGAAGCAAATCAGATTAAGTTTTTTACAAAAGAATAAGAAAAAGATATTTTAAATGTTTTTAAAACGAATTAATAAATATTTTTACATTTTTATTAATTGTAAAAATGCAGAAAAATCTTTTTATATACTTGTTACTAAGCTGAACACATTTTCTTAAATTTTTGTTTTATTTTTTATAAAACTTTAATTAGCTTAAATTGAGCTTAATAATAATTTACCTCCAAAATATTATATCCATTTTATAAATCACACTTTAGACTAAACAAACAAAATATTTAACCTCTCAGTTAATATGTATAATTTACCTGCAATTATTATCATCGATTTTGTAATATTTCCGAAATATATCTCATAAATCTGATTACCTATTTCGGCAGCGGCAGCCTCTCGAATTTTGTGTGGCAACAACATGAAAAGTTCAATGTTAACAACAAATTATGCTACCCAGGAGCCGCCCCCTCGACCGCC